AATCCCCCAGGGCTTCATCACCCCAAGGTGAGTTGATAGTCTATTTCCTGAACATTCCATCTGAGTTGCTGTAGTTGCTGCACTTTACTCCAAGGCCCAGAATGGCCTGCGTATTTCCCTCTGCCTTTCCTACGCTTCCTCTCTCCTCTCTTTTCCTTTCTCATTCTCTTAATGTTAAGGGAGTGAGCCTGATGCTATAATGGGCCTGGCCTTGCAGGCACATTTCTGTCCTCTTTGTCTTCTTTGTTCCATTCACAGATTGTGACTGTGTAACAAATTAGGCTGTCCTGGGTGGCTCTTTCCCTGCCCTCTTTTTTCGGAATGACCTTGTCCCCAGCGCACTCTTAGGCTTCCACCCTGGCAGCTTTCTGCTGGAGGCTCCCGTGAGCACACTCACTGCAAGCTGCAGTCAGGTCAGCTTGTTGCAGATGTTGTCACCTCATGGTTGTGGCCTCTCCTTTACCTCCCCACAGGGCCAGGCTGTCTAAAACCACCTCCTTTCCTCCTGGTTCTTTTGTTTTCCCACCTCCACTGTTCCCTCTGGCTTTGCCTGTTCTCTGAGAACAACAAGCATGTACTGGGCTGGGGCTGGGGCTCATTGGCAGAGCGCTTGCCTGGCACACATGAGGCCCTGGGTTCCATCCTCAACACCACATAAAAATAAATAAATAAAATAAAGATATTGTGTCCGTCTACAACTAAAAAAAAAAAAAAAAAGCAGCAGCGTGTCCTATGTTTTTGTAGTGGTGTAATGCCACAGGCAAGCCATGCCCAAGTTTGGCAACAGCAAACCTTTTGCTTAGGATTGGGACCCAGAAAAGAAGCCACCTCACTCATCAGAGCACCGTGTAATCTGGAGCCTGCTCAGTGCTACTTGGCAAAAACAAAGAGCCTTTCCAGGAGGAGAAGCCATGACACAGCAGACCTTAGCCACACCCTGCAATGTGCTTATGCCATTATACTGGCCTTGTGCCCCGGTGTCCACTTGGAATAGTCAGGGCTTATGTGTTTCTTGCACTAGCCATGGAGGTTGATCCTCTAAAACAGGTGCCTTGACCATGGGCAGGGATTTGTGCATCCTTGTAAAGAGAGAGGGTGCCCCTTGGTAATTCCATTCCTAGTTTCAGGCCCATGTTTGTGTGAAGCCTGTTTGATTGCATTGGGATGTTGAATCTCTGTAGGAGATGTCTGTTCTTGTAGTGTATCCTGTAGGAAAGGTTTAATGTGGTTCAGCTTTCCAGAGCAGAATCTGAGAGCAGATTGGCTGCAGGGCCTTGTCTAAGCAGAGAGTAGACTGACTCATGATACCTGGACAGATTCCAAGGGCGAGACACGGTAACCTCTCCAACTGCCGGCAAAGCACTCCCCGTCTTGCTTGGATAACTCTCAGCATGCTAGTGTTTGACTGGCCATCTGGCCATGGCCAGGATCCACTTTTCACCAGAGCTGCTTGGATTTGTATTCCATTCTGTAATCTGATGGAAGAATCCCTCTCCAGTTCTGCTGAAGCCATCCTGCCTATTGTGATGGGGTTGGATGGGAGTTTTAGTTATTGCAGTACAGAGTGTGGTGTGGAATTGGGGGAAATAACAGGATCAATATCTAATGACATTTACCAGTGGCTTACCTTAATGTCTGGCATGGTTTTTTTTTGTTGTTGTTGTTGTTGTTTGTTGGTTTATTTTGTTTTGTTTTGTTTTGTTTTTTGGTGCTGGGGATTGAACCCAGGGCTTTGTGCATGCTAGATAAGTACTCTGCCAACTGAGCTGTACCCCCAGCCCTTGATGTCTGGCATTTTTTAAACCAATAAAACTATATGCCAAGTAGGCTGGTTATTTGGAGACAAAAGCACATTCACTTAGATATGACCCATAATATTCTTTGTGTGTTGGGGGGGTGCTGGGATTGAACCCATGGCCTTGTGCATGCAAGGCAAGCACTTTACCAACTGAGCTATATCTCAGCCCCATAATATTCTTTTTTTTTAAAATATTTATTTAGTTATAGATGAACATATAGTATCTTTATTTATTTTTATGTGGTGCTGAGGATCGAACCCAGTGCCTCACATTTTCCAGGCAAGCACTTTACCACTGAGCTACAGCCCCAGCCCCCATAATATTCTTTTTTTTTTTAATATTTATTTTTTAGTTTTCGGCGGATACAACATCTTTGTATGTGGTGCTGAGGATGGAACCCAGGCCGCACACATGCCAGGCGAGCGCGCTACCGCTTGAGCCACATCCCCAGCCCCCCATAATATTCTTTTGAAGGTCTTCCACTCAGGTCTGTGTGCTGGGCAGATTATCTTTCCTAGAGTTTTAGAGAAGAGGGACCTCTCAGATTTAGCTAATATATTAGACCCATTTGCCTCTGCCTCCCTCGTAGTGATAAAGTGAGATTTATAAAATTTTTAAAATTCAGAGCTTTTCCATTAAAAATCTTGAACTCAAAGTTTCTTGAAATGGATCTGGCCCTGTCAGCCAGAAGTTGGTGGCCTATGGTCAGTACCCTCACTCTCTGGGTGTGCCGCTGCGTGTAGTGTGGCTGCTTGCCTAGCCTGTGCCAGGCACTTGGTCTCAACTCTGTTGGAAGGTATCTGAATCCCACAGATGTTAAATTTTGTGTTTATGATGGAGGAACTTGAATAGGCAGTCTATTTTCAGATTGGAGTGATGTGATACAGTGTGGAATTTTAATGAAACAAGACGTTATTTGTGGAAATTCTTGAAGAACCCTTAAAAGGTGATGGGCTTTAGACTCAGGTGAGATGTAGTATTTACTCAGGAAATAACACGGTCCCTTCCCCCCACATTCCATCCTGAGATTGAATGAGCATGTGCATGCCAGACAAGCGCTCTACCACTAAGCTGCATCCCTGTTCCCTGCCTTTTTTTTTTGAGACAGGGTCTCACTAAGTTGCTCAGGCTGGCCTGGAACTTGAAATTCTTCTCCTGCTTCAGCTTCTCAAGTAGCTGGGGTTAGTTAAGCATGACATAATGCAGGTGTTAATAGAATTAATACAATTCTGATGTAAACTCTACAGAGGGCACAGATTCTGTGTGTCTTTCAGTTCACGGAAGCATCCAGGTCATTCTCATTCTTTTACTTGGTGAACCTTTTCAGTGTAATCACTGAATGTTCATTGGGCACTTAACTTGCTCCAAGCTGGAGTAGATTAAGAGGCTTCATTTTGGCACCTCCCCAGCCTTCCAGAAACTCCAAAATGCTCAGAATCGCGTGTATTGTGCTTGCCAAATATGACTTAAACCTAGCTCAGCATCACTCAGGGTGGGTATGTTAGGCTGGATTTAAATCTAGCTTCATATGATTCCATCTAACTCCATGTTGTTTATAAGAGATACAAATAAGAAGATGGAAAGGTATTATAGCCAAAATAATGATAAACTGTTTAATTTACTAGAAAGAATTTTTCCCATAGTGAGTAGCTCAAATGAATCAGTGAAAATTCAGAAGGTTTGGCTCGAGCTGGCCAGCTTGCACTGCCCCTGTGAACTGTAGCGTGCAGCACAGAGCACTCATGAAAAGGGCCACCACACACAAGGCTCTGAGGCATCTCAGCAAATCTTAAGACCTTCTGGCCATATGGCTGAATATTTTGCATGTGATGGACTTTTTTGAAAATCCCATGTATCTTACCAATCAGGGTTCCCCAACCTTAGCACTGTTGACTCTGGGGGCTAGTTAATTCCTTGTGGGGGTTGTTCTGTGCATTGTATGATGTTTAGCAGTTTCCCTGGCCTTGACCCAATAGCATTTTCCCCTGGTAATGACAACCAAGCATGTCTTGACTTGGCCACTTGGTGGGTGGGGCTGACCACTCCTGGCTGAGAGTTGCTGTTAAGAGATTGGCTCTCCAGAGAAACACATAATTTTGCATATAGTATTTTTTTTCCAATAGCTAGATGATCCCCCCACCCCATAAAGAAAAGGACATAAAGAAAACAGTGGGACAGCCCAAGAGCTGGGAAGTTTGGCCTTTGCCCTGTGTATAGTCCTTACCCCCAATCCCCATGCATGGAGATTTCACAGAGTTCTTGTCCTGGGAGCTGTTGGCTCAGACTGCCAAGGGTGCCCCTGTTTTGCTCATGACAGGAAGTTAGGCCCAGCACAGTGGGAATTCAGGGCCAGATGTGTTAGACGGTGGACTCTCTTCTGTTTTTCTCAACCTGACTTCTCTCTGCTTCTTTCTAAAGTGGTGGTTTTGTGTTAGTTGAGTCCTGCCAGGCTCTAGTTCCAAGAGGAATCCTGTTGTCCCTTCTCCTAGATGCACTAGGAGACTTAGGCACTTCAATTCTATAAATATTAGGCTTCTGTTTTACTCTAAGCCTTTTGCTAGGTGATGTAGTTCAAGTCCATACCAGTAAGAAATAGACTACAAAATAGTTAATATGTGTGACCATGAAGGAAAGTGACAGGGAGTGTTTACCGCAGGAGCAACACTTCATAAAGGAGAGGCGACATCTGGGTTTTGCAGGATAAGTGGGAGCTTGCAGGGGTAGAGGACTTGGAGCCAGGTGGAGCAGCACTGGGGTTCTCGGGTTGTATGGCTCGGGATTGCCATGGTGCAGGATGGGAACAGAAGACAGGAGGAGGTGTGGGGGAGGCTGCTCCCAAGCTTAGATGTGGCCCTGCAGGCAGTTGAAGGGTTTTGAGTGGGGAAGTAACATGATCACACGTATTCAGAAAGTTGATTTGAGTGGCTCGGTGAAGGACAGGCCAGAAGTCTGGAGCCTGTGCAAAGATCCCAGCTGGACAATATCTAGAATCATTGCTGTGGCCATGGACTAGGAGGAGATGGACCCACAGAGGCAGCCAGGAGCCCAAACCCCAGAGTCTAGTCTGCCTCCATTATCTCAAAGGACACAGTCGTGTGTCCCTGGCTAGAGAAGACACTGCCCTTAGCTCTGAAAATAAAGACGAAAGTTTTTATTTGAGAGAGATTTTTTCCACTTTTTATATACATTTTTTTCCTCTAGGAAATAGACAGACGATTGGAAAAAAAACTGAAGATCACACAAAAGGAGAGGTAAGGCTGCTGTCTGGTCTGAGAACTTGTGCTCCCGCCAAGGAGAGCTGTGCAGTCAGCGGTGTTCTCCAGCTGGCTGTTAGGTTTAGCAGGCCAGGCTCCTGGGCAGCAAACCCTTCCCTCCCAGTTGGGGACCAGGGCATGGTGGCTCAAGGCTTTGGGAGTGAGGCCGGGGTGTTGCTCCTGCCTCTGACCTCAGTGGTCCCCTCGTGTGAGGTCATCTGGTGGACAGTCGAGGTGACAAGTTGCAACATTTAAGTTTTAGGCCTGGCTGTGCCCAGTTGCTCTGAGGTTTGGGGTAAGTCGTCCCTTCTGGAATCAGGTTCTTCCTCTGTGATATGAGGAGTTTGGACAGTTGATTTCCCTGGGGCCGCAGTGATTTGGCAGTTGAGGGGATCCTGAAAGTAAAGAGTCTAGGAAGTTGAGAGATCTTTAAGGATATCTTTGTTCCCCACCCCGGAGAGGAGGAAATGAGTTTCCAGAGCAGGTGACAGTTGACTTTGAGCTTGGGTAGCTTGGTTTTTCCCAGGGACAGGCAGCAGAAGGAGGGTAAGACTTGGATTTGCCCAACAGGCTGCATGGTGTTCCCCAGGGAACTCTGGCTCCTTGTCTGTCTCAGTAGGTGCACTGTCCTTACCCCAGGCCCCTCCCCCTGTTGTTCCTCAGGTCCCTAGCCCTCCCGATAGCCCTGGCTTTGGAAAAGGCCCCTGTGTGTCTGTTGGGTTCTGAAGCTAGCTGATAGCTTGGGGAGGGTTCTGGTGGCTGGTGTGGGGGGTCATTCCTGCATTGGTTCCTTTCTCCTCCTGTGGCTTTTGTTCCTCTCCCTCCCTGTGCTGTTTCCCGTTTTGTTAGTTCCACCTCTCCTTGTGGACATGTGGCCTTGATGTGTACACCCACCAACTTTGAGCAGTGCTTCTCTTTTGAGCACTGCTAAGCCCTGTTCAGGCTCACCCTCCATCCCAGCCCCGCCGCTGTCCAGCAGACCAGAACCCTGGGGAAGGAGGTTTCTCTGCTCAGCTCTTTGGAAAGGCCGACTCAGTTGTCGGATGTCTTGGTCTCTGGGAGACAGGTCGCTCTCAGCGGAAGGCTGGGGCAGTGTGGTGCAACAGGTTCTGGCAGTGTGTGGTTGGAGCCCATGTGGTGGAGACCCAGGCTGGCCACCTGCCTCTGACACTGCCCTTCATAGGAAGGCTGGGACTTTAACTGAGGTTATTGGATTTTGAACATGAACTGTTTTGCCTCAGGGGCCAGATGGTGCTTGCTGTGCCCGTGGGTAGACATGGGTGGAAGTCCCAGGTTGAGGAAGCATTCTGGCCCCTGGCCAGGGGTTAGAGCTGAGCAGCAGTTCCTGGGTGCTGCTGAGCTGGTGACAAGGTGGCTTTCTTGAGAGACCCTTCTTGAGGGGAATTTGAATGTCTGGTCAGAAGCCAGAGGCTGATGAATAGAGTTAGTGGAAAGAGGGAAGAAGGTGACAAAGGTGGGCATGGGGCTAGAGGGCCTCCTGGTCAAGGATGGGATTTGTGAAGCTGTTTTTGCTCTTTGTCAGCAGGAAATCCAAATCTCCTCCCAAAGTGCCCATTGTGATTCAAGACGATAGCCTTCCCACGGGGCCCCCTCCACAGATCCGCATCCTCAAGAGGCCCACCAGCAACGGTGTGGTCAGCAGCCCCAACTCCACCAGCAGGCCAGCCCTTCCTGTCAAGTCCCTAGCCCAGCGGGAGGCTGAGTACGCCGAGGCCCGGAAGCGGATCCTGGGCAGCGCCAGCCCTGAGGAAGAGCAGGAGAAACCCATCCTCGACAGGTGAGTGTGGCCGGCCACCCTGGGAGGAGCAGCAGCAGCAGGGCCTAGCTGTGTGCAGACCAGTGAGGAGCCTGCTGGGCCCGCTCAGTCTGCACTGCAGTGGCCTGGCAGGCTCTGGAGGCCTGGGGAGGGGGGCTGATGCCATCGGGTGGGGGTTGTTGTCAGTCTGCAAGCACAACGGCGGTGCTGTAGAGGCTATAGGCACAGACTGCGAGTCAAAATTTGCCACTTGAGAACCACTTAACCTGTCACCCAATCTCTAGAAATGGGTCAGTGGTAAATCCCTGCCTCACCAAGTCATCACACACCCTTGTGAACGAGCAAGTCGCCAGAGGGTGCTGAGCCCTGTGTGGATGGTAGGGAGCAACCAGTTAAGTGCTTCAGTGTTATATTCTGGATCTCCAGTAGCCCACTGTGCAAATTTTCTAAATTCTTTCTCATTCTCAGTACTTTTTCCCTACAGTACCAGAGGTTACACTATATCAGTTTGTCACTTCCTAGTGAAGCAGTATTTGTTAAAATGGTCTAACTTGGAATGGACTCTTTGGTGATTTGATATATTGTGATTTAAAGAACTAATCTTTGAACTTTTTTTTTTTTTTTTTGGTACTGGGAATTGAACCTAGAGATGCTTTACCACTGAGCCCCATCCCCAGCCTTTTTGGTTTTTGTTTTGTTTTTAGACAGGGTCTCACTAAGTTGCTAAAACTGCCCTTGATATTGTAATCTTCCTTCCTCAGCTTCCCGAGTCACCAGGGTTACAGGCATGCACCATTGCACCTGGACCCTGCCCTTACTTTGAAGGGACATCTTTTATCTGTTTTCCTCTCTCAGTCCTCACCTTCCCAGAGTGGAAAAGCCCGTTTCCTTCATCATCTCTAGTAATATTGGTCAGCCACTAACTACATGGTTTAGAGACACACAGGAGGCAGAATGGAGGGTGCTGGCTCACTTGAGCTAATGGCTAGGGGTCTTTACCTGGCCAACACGGGAAAATCTATGCCTTCTGGACAGCACGGGCTCCTGAGCAACCCCCTGCCTCCAAATGGGGGAGAATGCTATAGCTGCTGGAGGTGAGCATGGACCACCAACCCCTGTCCACCTGGATCTCCCAACTAGGAAATGTTCCAGCCTGCTTGCCAAAGAAGCAGGCTTATGGAACCAGAGTTAGCTGGATAGCCACTGTGACTTCCACCCCAGCTTTAAACATGATTGTTTTTATGATTTGGGGGCATCTTTTATATTTTGTTTCAGTCCTTCCTCTTATCTTCCCCTTCAGGCCAACCAGGATCTCCCAGCCCGAAGACAGCAGGCAGCCCAATAATGTGATCAGACAGCCTTTGGGTCCCGATGGGTCACAAGGCTTCAAACAGCGCAGATAAATGCAGGCAAGAAAGGATGCTGCCGCTGCCGCCATCACCACCTCCTGGGTCGTCCACCACGGGTTGCACTGCCGTGGCAGACAGCTGGACTTGAGCAGAGGGAACGACCTGACTTACTTGCACTGTGATCCCCCTTGCTCCGCCCACTGTGACCTTGAACCCCATGCACTGTGACCTCCCCCCTTACTCCCCTTCCCACTGTGATTGGCACATCAACAAGGGCTGTTCCAAGTCAATGGAAAGGGAAAGGGTGGGGGCTGGGGGGGGGCTGGGGGTCCCATCAAGGACTCAGAGTAGAGAGTCAGACAGTGCCACTCGGCCACTTGGGGTAAAGCCAGTGCCAGCAATAACAGTTTATCATGCTCATTAATTTGGGATTTCAAAACACAAATGAGAACTCCCACCCACCCACCCACCCCCAAGTGCATGTCTTCATCACTTAAAAAGTAAGTTCCATTTGAAAATATCCTTTCCTTTTTTTTTTCCTTCCTATTTTTGTTTGTTTATACAAATATCTGATTTGCAAGGAAAGTGCATGGGAGGGGTTTTAGCAGTTTAATGAATTTTTAATTGAGAAAGGGTAGTTTGGTAGTCTACTTAAAAATGTTTCTGGGAAATTCGCTAGAAACATTAACCAATAGGATTTTGGTGAGCTTAGCTTCTGTATTCCTACTGCCGCCCAGAAAAGGGGCAGGGCTCTGTAGCCCCAGGACAGATGAGCACCCCATGCCTTTACCTCCCTCCCCCAGCTAGGTTCCAGGCCTCTTGGCCCTGCCTGGAGACAGGGCTAGCTCTGTAGGCTCAGAGAGCCTGGGGAGGGTGCCAACCCCACCTCTAGTATTTTGGGAGATAGGGAAAGTGACAGACTTCCCCTTCCCCTACCCCTCAGGGTGGCTTCCTACCAGCCAGGCTTACTACTTCTAGAGGAAAGCAGGAAGCATCAGAGAGTGAGGCTGTACTCCTGCCTTAGGAGCAAGGGATAGGAGGCTTGTCAAGTGTTTGCTGTCAGCACAAGAAGACCAGGAGAGAGTCTGGCTCCGGGACTTCGGGCCATTTGCTCAGTGTTGTCAGAAGGTAGAGAGACCTGCCCACTCCAGCGAGGATAGAACTCTGAAGGGTCTGCGAGTGCTCCAACTCCATTGGTGGCCTCAGCTCAGTCCCTGTACCTGGTGTGCTTCCTATGTGAAACCAGTACCATGGGAACAGACCAGTCTGAATAGAGTTGGGAGAAGAAGCATTGCAAAGATGGATGGCCAACTAGTTCCCAGTGGTCTGGGCACCCTTCACCCCTTTTTCCAGAGTGAGGACTTGGAATGAAGATGATTTCTCCTTTCCCTGGAGCTTGGAAGTTTGCTTTGGCTCCTTGGGCAGAACAAGCTAGAGGGCAAGTGCCCAGAGAGCAGCTCTACACACCTTGCCCCCTCTTGGGCCCTCTGGTCCCTCCCAGCACACTGCACCTTCCTCCCCAGCCAGCCAGGTGGCCTCACACTCCTGGCTAGCAGGTGGGGTTTGGAATGGTTGGCATGATTTTGGATTAGGGCATCTTGTGGCAGCCCTGATGGCAGGCTAGGGTTTCAGGCTCTCTCCACCTCGGTTCACCTGGTCTCAGCCTTGTCCTTAAGTGGTAAGTCAGGCCCAGGTATGTCTCAAAACATCTTCCCCTTAGGAGGAAGGGCCAGCTGTCAGTTGACTAGTCCACGGCACAGCCTTAGAACTGGGAAGCCAGGAAGTGTCTGGGAGCGGTGCTAGAGCAGAGCTCAATCGCAGGAGGAACGGTCACCTCCAGGAGTGGACAGGAAGAACACTGGCTGCTATGTTAACATGCACTGCCCTGACCAAGTGTCCACCTTCTAAATGTCCAGTGCCCATCCTCAAGTAATAGTCTCAGGTGAGACTGTCTTTTGGGAGAAGGATACAGAGGTATTCCAGGTGGAAGGCCAGAGAAGTGCCGACTGCCCAGTCCTCAGGACCACCTGTTCTTGTCCTGCCTGCTCCAGTGGGAGCCAAGGGCAGACCAGCTGGTGGGGCTCTGCAGATTAAGAACCTGGCAGGGACTGGTTCTCCCACGTCCCTCTGGCCAAAGGTGGAGCTGTTGCCCACATGTGCCTGTCACCACCCACCAACAGTCACATCTTTGGCTTCCCAGGTGGAGAAGTGGCAGGCAAATGAAAGAAAAAAAAATGAAAGAGGAGACTTGTGGGGGGAGGTGGGAGGGGCAATGGGAAAACGGTTTGGTGTGTGTGTGTGTGTGTGTGTGTGTTTTTGTTTTTGTTTCTTTTTTCTTTTTGTAGTTGTCTTTCATTAAGTGCTTTTTTTTTTCTTTTTTCTTTTTTTTTTTTTTTAAGTAAGTTGCAGGCTTTGGCTTGGAAATCCCCAGGGGGATGAGGGGCAGGAACCTGAAGCTGCTGCCCCTTTATCTGCCTTCATGGTACTGTCCCTTCCCCCAGCTCCTCCCAGACCCCATGAGCCAGGCCACAGCCCTTCCAGCTAACCGCTTCCCATGAGCCACTACTCTGATGTCAGCCTATAACCAAAGGAGCTGGGGGTCCCGGCCTGGTGACCAGCCCTTCTCAGCCCACTCAATCAGGGTGCTCCCCACCTGCAGGCAGGAGGCAACACCCTATCTGCTACCATCAGCCCCTTCCAGAGCCCACCTGCCCCGCCCAGCCCTGCCCTGCCCAGCCATACCCTGCTCTGCCCCATCTGGGGGTGCTCTGCTCAGGGATGGGCCGGCAGGGCTGCACCTAGCCTCCCTGGTAAGCAGAGACTCAAAGAAACCTCTGGGGTCCTGTTTCGTGGTCGTGCGATCCCAGGGGTGCACATGGGCCCCTTGGGTGTGTGAACAGAAGGGATTGGGAGGGAGGGCCGCACCCCGCAGTCTTGCTCTGCTGATGTAGAGGGAGCTGCCCACCCACCCCACCCCGCACCGCGGGCTCCTGAGTCGGCAGATTAAGCATTTTATAAATTGTATTTTAAATACATGTTTTAAACTTGTCAGATCCTTGTCCTCATTTCAGCCCCTGGCCTCTTACCTTCTTAATGTGGCTGGCTGTTGAACCCAGGGGGACTACCTCTGCTCATTCCCAGTGAGAGTCTCAGGTGAGGGAAGGGGCTTGGTGGTATGTGGATCTGGGGACAAAGGCTCCATTTCTTAGTGCTTCAGGGAAAGAGATCCTGCATCCATGGGTTCTGTCAGGAAGATGGTGACTGGGGGCACTTCCTGCCCTTCTACGAGGCCTGTGACTTTCCCAGGGATTTGGCTTATGTTCACCACTGCCTTTGTGGGGCTCTCAGTCCAAAGGGGAGACACTCGTCTGAGGAGGGCCCCACTGTGCATCAAGAGTGCACAGAGGCCAAGGCTTGACATACCAGGGCACCTGCAGCAGGAGCCCCAGCCCCGGGCAGGGCTTTGAGTCAAGCCTTTGCTCGAGCCTGAGGGGACTGGAGCGCTATACTCTGAGGGCCTGGGAGGGAGGTGAAAGTCTGGGGACCTTCCCTGGCGCCAGGCACAGAGGCTGATGTTCTTGGTGTTTATTGGCTTACCAGGCCATAAAAGCCAACTCCAGTAGCCACCCCTGCCTGATGGCCCATCTGTCTGCAGGCCTTGAATTGCTCCATCAGGACTCCAGAGGGTCAGTGGGTTCGAGCTGGCAGAGAGCCAAGCCACTTGCCACTGTCGGAGCTGTGTTCCCTGGGCAGGGGGGTGGGACAGAAGGGAGGTATTTGGCTCTCTGCACAATCCTCCCAGGCTCTGTTGTCCCTGTGTGCTCAGGGGAGAGACCTGGAGGCGATGGAGCCAGCTATGGGACTTGGGCCTAACTCTTAAGTCCAGAGTCCTTTTTCTTCAAGGGGACCTGCTGCAAGAGACACACCCCTGCCCAGTTGCTATGCCTGCTATTCATAGTTTAGAGCAAGGCTTGGGAGAAAAGTTCAAAGTTAAGTTTTCCTGTGTGGAAATGGGGTAGTGCCAGCCCAGGAAAGATGGTGGGTGTCACTGAGTCCTGGGTACAAGAAGGCTTAGTGCCCTCATCTACCTGGTACACAGGTTAGTGCTTCCCCTCCTATTCCTCCCCCTTCTCCCTCGAGGAAGCAGTCCCCCAGGGATCACCTCTTGGAAGGTTGGATTTTCCAGGCCTTAGGCCAGGGGCCTCTTGCAGGAAGCATGACAGAGGCCCTGGCCCTTTGGACACCTACCTGCTTCCTTGAGGTCCTGACGGGAAGAAGAGGCTGCGGATGTCTGGGCTCAGGCTGCTGGAAGCACACTGGTCTAGCACATAGTGGTTGCCCTGCTTCCGCCGCACCATCTTCTTGTCCATCCGGGGACAGAGCGGGATGCAGGGCACCTGGGCGTAGGGGCTCTGCAGGTTGGCAGCTGGTGAAGAAGCGGGCAGGAGAGGGAATGCTTTAGAGTAAGGCCAGCTAGGGAGGCAGGCGGACCCCAGTGAAATCCTGGTTTTGCCACATGAGCTGTCTGAGCCTCTAGGCCAGAAACACTAGCAGTAGCCAGCTCACAGTTGATGACGATTTAAGGGGAGATAACTGCAAAGCATCCAGCTGGACACATGCCCAGAGCAAAGACTAAGCACAGCTTTGAAAGGAGCAGATGTACCCCATTCTTGATGGGGCCTGGCCAAGGCTGGCAGGCGTGCGCCAGAAAGGCTGCAGAACTTCCAGCTATTGCTTGTCACGCTGAGGAGCCTAATACGTGATACCTGGGCAAAGGAGGCAGTCTTGCTCAGTGGGAAGAGCACAGGTTTGGGGATCAAATGTGGGTGTAAACCCATCCCAACATGCTATCTGGGAGGACTTGGGCAGATTGCTTAAACTTTCTGTTTCAGTTTTTCTCTTCTGTAAAATGGGACAAATGTGTGTTCATGAGGATTAAACCTTGGCACATCTGCAGATGGCCTGTCACTGTGACTGACCACAGGGCTCAGTCAGTGATGAGCTGGGATTCCCAATCTCTATAGCTGCTCCCTTCCCAGACCTGGCTCTTAGGAACAGCCTGTGCTCTGGGGTAAGGCAGGAGGGGAGGCGTCCAGAGCAGGGGTAGAGGCAAGGGACTGATCATCTGCCCAATTGCTGATGGACATAGTTAAGCCCAAAGTAGGAAAGCAGACCTCCCAGCTCCCTTGGGACATGGGCCAAGGAGGGAGGTTGGCAGGGGAGCCGAGCCCCTGCTCCAGCCCAGTGGGCCCAGGACCCTCACCATAGTTCTGTTGCTTTATCCTACTCAGGATCCTGAGGACCTTCCGCTCTGAGATTTCAAAGCTGTCTGCCTGCTGGGGGCTGTAGGGCAGCTTCTTGCGTGACCGCAGCCGGCCAATGGCCGAGTCCATCTCTCTCACTTTGCAGGTGCCGTCCTTCAGCTTCTTCTGGTAGTAGCTGGGGAAGCAGTGTGGTTAATCCCCACCCCTCCTGAGCCCCTGTTCCTTCGGCAGCTCTGGAGCAGGCACGCAGCCCAGGAGGCGGGAGACCTGGGTAGTTGAGTCCGCTCTGCCCTGCACTTCCTGTCCGTGAGCAGTGCCGCCCTGCTCGGGCCTCAGTGCCCCTGTGTAAGATGGGGAAATGGTCGTCGATCCTGTCACTCCAAGTTACTCGAATTCTCTGAGCTTCCGGTTTCTCCCGGGTTGGCAATGGCACACTCCATGTGCAGTGGGTCAGATGACAAGGCCTGTCAGGCACTTGCCACCAGCTGTGCACAGAGAGCTTAGTACGTCATGCACGAGTTACCCATGGTTACCCATGGTTTTGGCCACTGATATCTTTACTTACACATGCAACTGCATATAAATGAGCTGCGCAGCCCACTCCTGCTCATCTCCAGAAACCCTCGATCCCCAACTGCACCACCCCTTGCTGCTGTTACTTACCCACCAGAACCTCAGACACAGTGTCTGTCTTTCTTTTTTTGAACTAAAGATTGAACCCACAGGTACTTTACCACTGAGCCACTAACCCAGTCTCTTTTATTATTATTATTTTTTTTTAGTTGTAGAGAAACACATTATCTTTATTTATTTTTATGTGGTGCTGAGGATTGAACCCAGGGCCTCGCCCGTGTTAGGCCAGTGCTCTACCACTGAGCTACATCCCAGCTCCAGTCTTTTATTTTTTATTTGGAGACAGGGTCTTACAAAGTTGCTGAGGCTGGCCTCCCACTTGCAAACCTCCTGTCTCACTCTCCCCAGTCCTTGGGGTTACGGGCGTGCACCGTCACTCCCGACCCTGTTTCTTAGCTCTGTTTCTTGGCTTCTCACTGCGCCGCAGCACCACTCATTCAGTAAATGTTCACCGAGTGGCCACTGTGTGCTGCCCACAAGAGTGGTTGAGTGGTTGACCTCGCAGGGTCCCTGTGTCCTTGTCTCAGCCCCACCTGTTATTCCAGCCACAGCCACCACAACCACTTCTGCAAGAGCTTGTAGCTTTGCCCAGGGACAGTCTATAGGGCCACCTAAGTCCTGCCTGGGCTTCTCTGACACATGCAACCTACAGATACAGGGGAGTACACCCGGGGGCCACTCTTGGCCTAAGGAGTTAGTGGCCAAGGTTTAAGACTTTCTCCTTTCTTCCCCTGGGCCACCCTTTGTGGTTCCCCAGGACATACAGTGCACACCTGACCCAGTGACATGTCCTTGTATTGTCTCCCTCTGCTGCTGTCACCCCTTTTCTTCATCCTTTCCCTGGAAACACTTCCCAAATCAGCTACCTGCATACAAGCCTATGGGAGAGGCAGACTGTGTACAAATGAAAACAATACCACGAAAGGAATGGTGGGCGCTCGGAGGAAATGGGAAAGGGCAGGGGGGAGCGAAGGGGGGAGTTTGCTCACGGTGGTCAGTGAAGGTGTCAGAGATGATGTTTGAACAGAATAAGGGGAGGGCCAAACCCAGTGGATTCCTGCGGAAAGGCCAGAGATGAGGAAGAGCCCAGTGAGCCCTGGGGACAGCGAGGAGGCGGGAGCGGTTGAAGCCTGGTTTGTGGGGATGGGAAGAGTCATAGGCACAAAATGGCAGGGCCACGTCATCTGGCTTTGTGGGCAGTGGTGAGCGGTAGGCATGCACTAAGGCTTCTGTTTTGGGAAGGCCTGGTGATTGGAGTGGCAGCTGTGCTTCAGCCTCTACCTGTCCTTTGGGGCCTGGACTCGGGATTTCAATAAACCTTACAGAAGATGGGAAACTAATCCAAGAGCCTCTCATGGGGAGTGTGGGTCCAGACACTCAAAGGCAACCTGTAAGATGAAGCTTGACAGGACATGAGCAAAGTGTAACTTTCTCAGTCACAATGTTAAAGGAAACCGCCTGCTCTTGACTTCTTTTCCCTTTCCTGTGGGCTTGAACTCATGGTTGCTGATAAGTTAGTTTAGCACTGACTTAGCAAAGGATGGAACAATACATTGGCAAGAAAATGGGAGCCCGGGCAACTCTGCTCCCTGCATGCTGCTCCCTCCACTGTCAACATAGAACTCCTTCTCATTGAACTATAGTCTATTGAGGCTTAGTCCTTAACGACTATACCAACCTCGGATTCTATACCCAGCTCAACTATGCAGTAAGTGAGGGCAGAAGAAACAAATTGATAGTCATACGAAAATTTTAAAATGTGCTTCCCATGCATCCTTAAGAAGCTGCTGGAGGACATGTCCTTCCCAAATGAAAGCATAAGTCAAAAAAGAAAGGCACAGAATACATCTAGAAGACAGATCTGACCTACAGGAGAAGCCGGGGGGAAGGAAGACTGAAGCGAGATCCCAAGATGGCAGTTCAAATGCCTTAAGGGACAGCCAGTTCGAACTGCATCACTGTGGCTTAACAGAAATTTTGAAGGCAATGTTCTTCAGTGTCTTTCTAGCCCAAGAAAACTACCAGGAAAATATGTTCCCGTTTTAAAAAGGAGGAGTGAATATGTCAAGAAAGACATTCAGAGTGGCAGCTATTAAGAATACAAACAGCAGTAAATGTTGGGGATGTGGGGGAAAGGCACACTCATACGCTGCTGGTGGGACTGCAAAAGGGTGCAGCCAATACGGAAAGCAAAATGGAGATTTCTTGGAAAACTTGGAATGGAACCACCATTTGGCCCAGCTATCCCACTCCTCGGTCTATACCCAAAGGACTTAAAAACAGCATACAACAGGGACACAGCCACATCAATGTTTAATGCAGCACAGTTCACAATAGCTAAACTGTGAAGCCAACCTAGATGCCCTTCAGTAGATGAATGGACAAGGAAACTGCGGTATATCTACACAATGGAACATTACTCAGCATTAAAAGAGAATAAAATCATGGCATTTACAGGTGAATGGATGGAGTTGGAGAATATAATGCTGAGTGAAGTTAGTCAATCCCAAAAAACCAAATGCTGAATCTTCTCTGATATAAGGAGGCTGATTCATAGTGGGGTTTCAGGGGGAGCATGTGAAGATTAGACGAAATTTAGACAGGGCAAAGGGGAGTCAGGGGAAGGGAGGGGGCAAGGAGTATAAAAAAGATGGTAAAATGAGATGGACGTCATTTCCCTAAGTACATGTATGAAGACATGAACGGTGTGAATATAGTTTGTATACAACCAGAGATATGAAAAAAAATGTGCTCTATATGGTAATATGAATTGTAATAGGTTCTACTGTCATATATAATTTTAAAGAAAGAAAAAGACATTCAGAAAATGGAGAATCCAAATAAGGAAAGGAATAAAATGCCTGGGGTGCAGCAGAGTCCCGGGTGCCAGGCAACTCTGCGCCCCGCACCCTGTTCCCTCCCAGCAGGCCTGAAGTGCAACTTCTCCTGAAACAGGAGGAATGGCTTTTTTATTTTTATTTTTTTTTGACTGAATTAAACCCAGAGGTGCTCTACCACTGAGCTATATCCCCAAGCTCTTTTTATGTTTTATTTTGAAACAGGGTCTTGCTAAGTCATTGAGGCTGGCCTTGAACTTGTGATCCTCCTGCCCCAGCCTCCCTGAGTTGCTCAGTTAGGAATAGAATTCCTTAAACATGATTTGAATAAAAAGAAACTCCAGGGAAGATATCAGAAGATTGCCAATGGGTACAAAGAAAAAACAAGGCAATTGTCAACTCAGAAAGTAAGAATGACAATAATAAAGGAAATTAAATCATAGTGCAAGTGGAGCATCCCTAATCCAAATATCCAGAATGGTCCAAAATCTGCGACTTTCTGAGAATCAGCACGACATCACAAGTGGAAATTTCTACCTGTCTTCACACAACAGGTCACAGTCAAAACAGGTGCACCCAAAATATCACATAAAACTGGGACTGGGGGTGTAGTTCAGTACTGGAGTGCTTGCCTAGCATGTGCCTGGTCCTGGGTTCCATCCCCAACATCACCTTAAAAAAAAACAAAAAAAAAAAAACACAACAATTTAATGGTGTGATCCTGAATTAGGGGCGGGGGGGAAATATCAAATAGAGCTTTAAGAAAATAAGGAAAGGGCTGAGGATAGAGCTCAGTTGGTAGAGTGCTTGCCTTGCATGCACAAGGCCCTGGGTTCAATCCCCAGCACCACAAAACAAAAGACCTCAACAGTAAGAAAGCAGCTTGATTTTAAAAATCAATTTTAAAAATAAGGAATAGAAGACTTTAGACCAATATGTATGAAAACTAGAAGAGCTAGTTGAATTCCTATAAAAATATAAATTACCAAACCTAGCTCAAGAAGCAATAGAAAACCTAGTCATATAACTATAAAATAAAGTGAATCGATAATTTGATTTTATAGTAATTTATTAATTATTTTTGTGTTTCTGGGATTGAACCCAGCAACACCCTTAGTACTGAGCTACATCCCTGCCCTCCCCTGCTTTTTAAAAAATATTATTTTTTAATTATAAGTGGACATATTATATTTTATTTTTTTGTGGTGCTGAGGATCAAACCCAGTTCCTCATGCATGCTAGGCAAGCGCTCTACCTCTGAGCCACAACCCCAGCCTGATCCCTGGCCCTTTTAATCTTTTAATTTCAATTCGAGCTGTCCCTAAGTTGTCCAGGCTGTCTTGGAAGTTGTGATCCTCCTGCCTCAGCCTGCTTAGTCACTGGGATTTGGGACATGAATCAATAATTTTACATCCTGCAGAATGTGTTGGCGCCTGCCTGTACCCCTTGCACTACGCCAGGTTGCTAGGGCTTGCTAGAGAGGTTGAGAGCCGAGGAGAGATACTTGAGGTTGACAGTGGACTCCAGTCCAGTCACAGTCGTAAACCTCAGAAAAGCCAGGTCCCAGGAGGAAGGCCCATGCTCCAGAGGAGCAGATGTAGATCTGTTTGGTTTCACAGGCTATGTCGTCATAGTTACTCAACTCTTGTCATTGTAGCTTGAAAGAATTCATAGATGATTAATAAAAATGAGGTAGCCTGGATGT